AAAGAGTGATAAGAGTCAATCAAATTTACTTTTATGCCCTGGTAGAAGGCTCATTTATATGATGATAAATCATTTCAAGTTTTAGAGTACAGGACACTGATCATTAAGAGTTTTTGCTCTAAAAAGAAAGAGTATTCTAACATTTCACATGTAAAAGTGAAATGGGGGGAAGTGTGATAAAATTGATGATATTTAAGGGTACAAATTTATAACGAGTAGTAAGCAAGCCATAGAGATCTAATGCGCAGTATGATGGATATAGACAATAATACTGTATGATAATTAGGTAATGTAATAAATACCACTATAATGCAATCATATTACAATATATAAATCTATCAAAGTAACAGACTGTACTCCTTAAACTTACACAATGTTACATATCAAACTTATTCAATAAAAAACAAAAGTGAAATGCACTTTTCACAACAGGAGACTCTGACTTTCCTTATGTGGAGAAATACAGTTTTGAACGGTACTTACCAACAGTGGTCACAGGAGGCTGGGAAGGGTACTGGGAACTTGTTGTGACAGGATACTGACTGCCAGGTGGGTAAGGACAGCCTGGGTAACCACTAAAAAAAAGAACATAAAATATTAAATGTTAAGATGACCCAACTCTACAGTATCTTTAAGAACCCCATTCAGGGGACATCCCTGGCAGTCCAGTGGTTAAGACTTCACCTTCCAATGCAGGGGGTGTGGGTTCAATCCCTGGTCGGAGAGCTAAGATTCCACATGCCTCGTGGCCAAAAAAACAAAAAACATTTAAAATAACCCAGAAGCAATACTGTAACAAATTCAATAAAGACTTAAAACAAACAAACAAACAAACAAATCCACTCCATTCAGGAAGCTAAGCTTGATATTTCATTGTCTTACCAGTTAATGACTTTACAGTTTTAGAGCTACAGGTGTCTATTCAAGCAAAGCTCCACAAAAATTTCATTAATGACACTGGACTTACTCTTAAAGTAAATGATTAAAATACTCTCGCTTGGCCCTGGGTTTTTTTTGGCTGCGGCATGCGGGATCTTAGTTCCCTGACCAGGGATCGAACCCGTGCCCTCTACAGTGGAAGCACAGTCTTAAAAAATGGACCACCAGGGAAGTCCCTTGGCCCTGGTTATTTGAGGGTCACCTTCACAGTAGCAGAAAGCAACTCGAGTTTTTCTAAGGGCAGTCCAACAGTATCAGAACTGAGAGCAACAAATATTTTGTGAGAACTTTTCCATTCTGATTTCCTAGCATACAGGGAAATAATATTATTTAATTTTTACCTGTGGTTCATTGATAACCTTTTTGAATGTCTGATCTGAAAATACTCCTCTTGAGATAAAGTTTTAAAAGGTTCCTCTTCACTCTAAGGAAGGTTTGTGTCATTCCTGTATTCACATCAGAGTTGGAAGAAACTTTCCTTAGAAGTATTGTCCTCCAATCTCCTATCCAACATTGTTTCATAAATATCATTTACAATATCCCTGACAAATGGTCATCTTTCTCTACTCAACACTAACTGCATTTTGACACAGTAACCTCTAATTAATGGTCCTAAATTTGCACTCTGTAAGATCACTTGCATATTAGAAAACTTCTAACATTTTCCCCCTCAGTCTTCTCTTCTTCAGGTGAAATTTTTTTTTTTTTTTTTTTTTTTTGTGGTATGCGGGCCTCTCACTGTTGTGGCCTCTCCCATTGCGGAGGCTCCAGACGCGCAGGCTCAGCGGCCATGGCTCACCAGCCCAGCCGTTCCGCGGCACGTGGGATCTTCCCGGACCCGGGCACAAACCTGTGTCCCCTGCATTGGCAGGCAGACTCTCAACCACTGCGCCACCAGGGAAGCCACAGGTGAAATATTTTTAATTCCTTCAACCATTCTTCACAGCTCTGATTTTCAGATCTAATCACTTTCCTCTGAATGATCACTAATTTGGCAGTGTTTCCCTTATAATGGAGAAGAAAAGGAACGGGATGATTACTATAGCTACCTGTTAGTAGAACAATCAATTTTGATGAATCCTATTTTATCTACAATTGTCAGATCTATGACATTTGCAATTCTGATTAACATGCCTTCTATGAGTCCATTAAAATTACTGACTAAAAAGACCCAGTCCAGAGTCCCGGAGGAAGAGCTCTAAGTTCATAGTCAGTAATCCTTTTATACGGCAGTGGCTCAAAGATTCTCTCCTATGTGTGCTGCTAGTTCACACTTTATAACCTGTCACCAACAAAAAAGTTTTGTGTATAACTTGTTGAGGATTCAATGTAATCATGATACTCTCTTATAGATTAGTATAAAAGTAAAATGAAAAAAGAAAAAGGTTAAGCATTTCTGTTCCCAGTGGACACATGCTGAATGCTATTGCACAGTACTTTTGTTCTAGTCTCTCTAGTAATCCATGCTGCAAGGAAACAATGTCAATCTTATTCAAATTTCTGAATCTACCTTTTTGAACACTGGAATAAATTTGCTTTTTCTGGAGTTCCTCCCATTTTGCATACTTTTTCAAGGACAATCTGTGATTTTATTGCTGAATTTTTCAGTAAGCGGTATAAAACTCTTCTAGGCCTACAGATATTAAATTCAGAGAACTCCCTGTCTATTTAGTTTGCTTAATTTCTCCTTTTAGTTATTCTCTATGTTCAGGGTTAACAACTTTTCTTGAGTAAAAAAATAATTTAGTAGTACTATTTTCTATCTTTGTACATTATTAAACAATTTGCCCTATGTAGGAAATCTTTTTCAGATTTTTAAGAGCCCTTTTGGACTAAGTGTATTTAAAAAGAATTTCCCAACACTCTTATATTCCTTTTTCTTTATGTGCCCCTTCAAAATTTACTATTTATTCTATTTAAAGCACTGTTTTCAAGTGCTCGAGGCAGTAGCTAAAGTATGAATCCATCTCTTCCTCAAGATAATAATAATCAAAATAGAGCAAGACCCCTGTAAACAATCCTGATAGGATAAAGAAAACAATAAATGCTAAATAAAAGTTCAGGAAATGTATACAGTTGATCCTTGAACAATATGGGTTTGAACTGTGCTGGTTCACTTATATGCAGATTTTTTTCACTAAATACATACTAGACTACTATACAAGCCACAGTGGGTTGAATCTGAGGATGCGAAACCTCAGATATGACAGAGGCCTGACTATAAAGTTATACTTGGATTTTCAATTGCAAGGAGGGTCAACACCCCTAGCCCCCCGACCTGCCCCTGATGTTCAAGCGTCAACTGTAGTGGAAAATCAATACCAGCTAGAGGAGATCAGAGAAGGTTTGGGGAGATCTGTAATACCTATGAAAGTTGCACCTTTATTAAAACTCTTCAGGGGCTTCCCTGGTGGTGCAGTGGTTAGGAATCCACCTGCTAATGCAAGGGACACGGGTTCGAGCCCTGCTCTGGGAGGATCCCACATGCCGCGGAGCAGCTAAGCCCTTGTGCCACAGCTGCTGGGCCTGCGCTCTGGAGCCCGTGAGCCACAACCACTGAAGCCTGCGCACCTAGAGCCCGTGCTCCGCAACAAGAGAGGCCACCGCAATGAGAAGCCTGCGCACCGCAAAGAGGAGACCCCGCTCTCTGCAACTAGAGAAAGCCCACGCGCAGCAATGAAGACCCAACACAGCCAAAAATAATAAATTAAAAAAAAAAAAAAAAGAACTCTTCGGTCCTCCTACTCATAACCCTATATTCTCCGGCCATATTAGAGTGTTTCCTTATTCTTTCCTGGGATTTTTTTTGGCTTTCACACCTTTGATTACATAAAATTGAGTGGGTTGAACTTAATAACTGGTAAGTTTCCTCTGATATAAAATGTTATTACTGTTTGCTGCTCCCTCCACCTCTAAATACTTACTTTTCTTTTAAACCAGTTCCTTCATTTATGAAGCTATCTCTAAGCTCCCACCTCCAAATCAGATGTGACCCCTCCTTTAAAGCTGTTTATCACAGCACTTAACATTTTCTGTCTTTTCTGATATCAGAAACTGTTTTCTAATAATACATGCTTGCTAGTACATATACCAAAACTGGAACAACTATCCTTGACATACGTTTTAGTTTCCTTGTATACATGCTGCAAGGTGCTAAATAAAACTTTCAAAAGATCTTAAAATTTTAAAGAGACCTTAGAGATCATCTAGTCCAACTTTCCATAGCAAGAATAAATATTCTCATGTTCACTGTTGTAAAATAAAGATTCTTGAATCACTGATTTACTATTTCTCCTTTAGGATAAAGCGAGAAGAGAAAGAGGTTCTGAGGCTCTTTTGCCAAGACCTTGCATATGCAGAAGGATACAGACAGTAATGTGGGTACAGTTACCCTTAACAACTCATTAGCCTGTCATGAGATTAAAAGTTACATTTCAAAAAAACCCCAAAAAACAAAACGCATCAAAGCTTTGAAAAATAGCTCCCTCAGAAAGGAACTTCTGGGCTTCCCTGGTGGCGCAGTGGTTAAGAATCCGCCTGCCAATGCAGGGGACATGGGTTCGAGCCCTGGTCCGGGAAGATCCCACGTGCTGCGGAGCAACTAAGCCCGTGCACCACAACTACTAAGCCTGCGCTCTACAGCCTGCGTGCCACAACTACTGAGCCCGCATGCCACAACTACTGAAGCCCACGCGCCTAGAGCCTGAGCTCCGCAACAAGAGAAGCCACCGCAGTGAGAAGTCCGCGCACCACGATGAAGAGTAGTCCCTGCTCGCCTCAACTGGAGAAAGCCTGCACGCAGCAACAAAGACCCAACGCAGCCACACACACAAAAAGAATAAATAAAATAAATTTTTTTAAAAAAGGAACTTTTTACAAATAACCTCACAAAAGACACTTTGTTTGTTTTTTGCAGTACGTGGGCCTCTCACTGTTGTGGCCTCTCCCGTTGCGGAGCACAGGCTCTGGACGCGCAGGCTCAGCGGCCATGGCTCACGGGCCTAGCCACTCCGCGGCATGTGGGATCTTCCCGGACCGGGGCACGAACCCGTGTACCCTGCATCAGCAGGCAAACTCTCAACCACTGCACCACCAGGGAAGCCCACAAAAGACACTTTTAAGGTTATGTAAGATGAGTAAAATTTACATTTCTGTCAATATTTTCAGCCTTCATTTTTATCTACAAGTTTCTCTGAAGTGGCTTCATTGTTCAGAAGTCCATTTCCTTATTGTGCTTCTAATAACCATTCCCTATATGCCCAAAGTTCCTTCTTACTAGCAACTGTTCATTATAAAGGCTTGTAATTTCAAGGCTTCAGATAGAATTCCATTTCTAGAACTTAATCAGAAAATTAAAGGCCTCAAGAAATCTAAAACTTACAACTTGTTTATGTATAACAATCATAGGAATCTTTCTCTCTTGTCTCTGACAGACGTTCATCTAGTCTGCTTACCCAGATAAATGTGACAGAATACTTACTACCTTATAAAGCTAGTTCTTGAAATTAAGAAAGGCCCCCAGATAAATGTTTGCTAAATTTAACTTATAAGATCCTGCATATTATATATGTATATACATATATTTATTTATGGCAGGTGTTCCGGAATTCTAGCTGCACTTATCTGTGAGTTTCTATGGAGCTAAGAAGAGTTAGCAGGGTTAAAATTTTTTTGTTAATTTCGAGTAGCTGGAAAATTTCATCTAGGCACCAAGTATATGCCAGTCTTGCATTCTAAGTTAGCCCCAAGACCACCTTTGGAAAGTACTCCTAGATTACCCCTGGAACAGGTGCACATTTAAAACATGGATTAATAATTATTTCTTATTGATTTTTCTAGTATGTATTATTCATAGACTGATTTCACTATTAATTTACCTGTTATGTTATTAACATATGGATAATAAAGGTTGGTAGTACGTGTAGTCTATGAACTGAATAAATATGGGGACAAGACTGACCCCATCATATGCACCATTAATTCATTCCCTGTAGTTTACGGAAAAGGTCAGTTTTTTAAAAAGGATATTAAGATATTTTTCTCCGTGGCTGAGGTCATCATAATTAGTATTCCATTAATCTTTCAGCCATTTACACTGGATATACAGAGTTCTTAAAAGGAAAGAAACAAGGATTTCAAGGTACAAAACTAATCAAGATTATTGTCATTTCCCCACCCCTTTCCTCTCTCTAAATAGAATGGAGCTGCCTTTCTCTAAATGGAAAAAACTCCTCTTGAACTATGTATATACCATAAAATTTCAGCAATAAACTGAGTTTTACCTTCCATTAAATTGCAACCATTTTCATTTTAATGCCCTAGTTAGCATCCATTATTTTTATTCTAGATCTAATAGAATTTCTAATACAATTATTCAAAAGATAATTTTTCATTACCTGGGATTGGGAGGGTATCCGGATGGGTATGCAGAAATTCCACTTGGCATGCCTGGCATGTAGGAAGCTAAAAATAATTTTTAATATTTTAAAATAGTATGCAGTCCTGGATATATAGGGTATCAAATAAGACACACATCACCATCAAACCACAGCAAAATTTCATACAGTTAAAGAATTCAAATCTCAGCACCAAAAACAAAACACTCCAGCCATATTAGTTCTTCACTGCAACTAATAAATATCTTCAAATCACATAACTCTAAAAGCATTAAACGTGACAATTCCAACAAGGATTAACTGGCGAACAGGTCAACCTGGTCAGCTCTTCAAGCTCTCAACGAGTCTATAACCTGAGACAGGAGCCAATTCAGTTTGGAATTTAGAGGAAGGTAAATGTGCCCTCCTCTGGTTCAAGGTCAGCTTCTTAGAAAGTGACCTCTTTATTATATCTAAGATATCTTTTGATATTTCTTGCAAGATTATGTTGACCGATTAGCACAGCTGGTTTTGTTGGCTTGACTGAGGACTTTAAACGACTTCAAATTACTACAAGAAGTCCTAAACAAAACTTATATTCAGCCAGACTGGTTAAATCAAACAAAAGCTTGGAAATACGAGGTGGAAAAAGGTTCAAATCTAGCAAGCATAAAGAATGCTTTATATATATTTTAAAGAGAACACTAATGACAAAGAACTAGTCAGTGATGCCAAGAGGCTAACCAACATCAAGGAAGAAAAAGAGAAGTTAATCTTGGCCTTAACTGGAAACAACTTGTCTGAGAATCAAATTAACCTCAGTGAAATTTTTCTCACTGAATATAATGATGAATTAGCCCTTAATGCAATCAATAAATATTTTAGTGCCTTTCTGTGAAAGGCACTGGATTAAAAAAAAAAGAAAGAAAGAGAAAGAATTCCTGGCCTCAAGTTGCTTATAGTCCAGTGAAGGAGATAAACAAGAAAAGAATAAAAATACAGAGTGTTAAGTGTCATGACAGGGGAAGTACAGAATGATATATACGGGATCATACAGGAGGTAGCTAATTAAATGTAGGAGGTGGGAGTAAACAAGAGTGATCTAGTAGATGAATGGTACACAAAGGCTTGAAGAGAGAAGTGGAACACTCAAGAAATAAACTTTTAGAGCACATAATGCAAGTGGATGGGAGAAGTATGCTGGGCTCTGACTAAGGGCCTTAAACGTCTTTATCAGAGTTGCTGAGCTTACATCCCCAAGTATCAGTGTTCATAGTCTTCTTGTTAGGATGAATCTGTAGATGTCATAAGTAAATTTTTTCTTAAGTATAATGAAGCTAAGGATGATGTTCAGTGCTATTTCATAAAGGGAAAAAAACCTCCCAAAATGTCATAATTGCTAGATCTCACAAAACATTTCTTCTTCCTGGGCCAAAACACAGTTGCTCTTTATGAACATCAAAAGATGAGGCCACTATTAGGTGTCAGCAACATATACAGTCAATTACTAGTTTCTCTCCCCATTCTAGTTTCTCTTAAACACATAAACTACGACTTCACAGTTATAAGCAATTTCCTCATAATTATAGGCAATTTTCCTTTCTAAGGTTCTGAAAAGCTAGTAATTTGACCAAAATCTTCAAATTTTGATTTTGGGAAACAACAAAAGTTGAGTCCAAGACTGGTAAGGAAGCAGATAATGAGGTGAAGTAATTTCAAAGCCAGAAGAAAATGGAATACAAATAAGCATAATATGTGGGGTTATTATAAGGATTAAATAAGAACTAATATGAAGTGCTTGGCTGTGTCTCATAGTTACCACTGAATAAATGTTGACTATTACTGTTAGTTGTCAAAAAATGAGGTCTGGGCACAACACTTTTTTAGTGTGACTTATAGCTAGCTCAAAAGTCTTCCTAAAACCAGAGATCAAAAATGTTTACAGTAGGGCTTCCCTGGTGGCGCAGTGGTTGAGAACTGCCTGCTAATGCAGGGGACACGAGTTCGAGCCCTGGTCTGGGAGGATCCCACATGCTGCAGAGCAACTAGGCCTGTGAGCCACAACTACTGAGCCTGCGTGTCTGGAGCCTGTGCTCCGCCACAAGAGATGCCACTATAGTGACAGGCCCATGCACTGCGACGAAGAGTGGCCCCCCCTTGCCACAACAAGAGAAAGCCCTTGCACAGAAACCAAGACCCAACACAGCAAAATAAATAAATTAATAAACTCCTACCCCCAACATCTTCTTTAAAAAAAAAAAATTTTTTTTACAGTAATGATGATGATGATGATGATGATGATAATAATAATAGAAGTATATAATTTCTTAACTAGAAGATCGTATTTGTTTAAGTATGGATCCAAATTTCTGGGCTGTTCCTTGATGTGTGGGTGTAGGACGGAATTCAGATTTTCATTTCTTTGCAGTCATACATAACAATAATGAATATCATTTAAATGTATAAAAAGTATTAAAACTATAATGGACAGACAATAAGTTGGTCTCTTTTAGTAATTTACTTATATTAGCTCTATATTGTTTAATGTGATTTATAGTGAGTGAGTGCAAAATGGAAGTGTGATAGTGATCTCTTTAGTGAGGTCTCTTTCTTGAATGCTGCACTTCCAATGTTAACATAAAACTAGAAGAAATTTAGGAAAAAAATGCTGCTTAGGGGACTAACATTCTGAAAAGGTTACCTTTATCTTAAGTGGTCACTGGCTATGTTATTTGAGCAAATAAATATGAATGACGATCTAGGAAATATTTTGCATTTCAACATTAGATGGGCAAGACAATCTAACCCTGGATATTAAAGTCAACAGAATTTATTAAGATGAAAAATTTCTGATCCAAAAGAATCCCTAGAATCTTTATTAAAAGAGCAACAAAATGCTACAACCAAGCTTATTCTGGGAAAGCAGAGAAGGAAAAGGAAATGGATTCAGTAAGTTCTGTTAGATTTCCATTCAGCTTGTTAGTCAAGATGCTCCTCAAGCCAGAATGGATTAAAAAGGAAGATGAGAATTTTCAGTGGGAGGAAAATGAAAGCTCACATAATCTAACTTATAAGATAAATTAAGTCTGGTTAATTATCTTAAACAAAATTTGTTTTAAAAAAATCGCAGCTCAAAACACAATGAACAGGCTTAGTAAAGACAAAACAAGTAAGTACAACCAACTCTCAATTATCCAGGGTGATTTTAAAGTACCAGTAAGAATTATTTTTGAAAAACCCAGAAATAACAGAGATAATGTACACCAGTTAGGGGAGAACTGATATTGACTCCATGCCCCCACCCTCTCCACTCAAAGTAAAATCATGAATTGGTTGTACTCAAGAGAAGAAAGCTGAGAGCCAGATGTCCATTGTGTACACCCAGAATAGCTGAATGTGAATGATATAGTTTACTTTATAATTGATTCTTATCTACAGCACTGATCCTGGAGTTGCAAACAAAAGGAGGTCAGATTGCCCTTCAAGTTGTATCTGCTTCCAAACGGATCAAATAAAGCTATTCCATGGCATGCATAATTTTAAAAAAAATTCCAGCTCTATTCCAGCATTCTTTCTCCTCCATTTTGGAATCTAGCACACCCATAGTTAGATTTCTACCCACAAACGAAAGCCCAAATGCCAGTCTTTGTTGAGAATCTGTACATGCAGATGTGGGGCCTCAGAATACCTCCAAAAACTCCACTAACTTGATAAGCTAAAAAGCAAAGTGAAGTCATCAAAAAAATTTTTTTTACAAAATTTTGTTTTCTTTTGTTTATATGAGTTTAAAAATCAAATCTCAGTTCTACTTACTGTTTGGTGGCCCTGTTGCCTGGTATGGTGGATAGGATGCTGAAATAGTAGCACGAGAAAAGACTGGAGGTTCTTCTCCAAACACCACAATCATAACTTGAATAAGCCCCAACAAGTCTGACTGTGGCTAAAAACGGAAAACAAATTTAAGTCATTTACAGATTTACTTTTTGGCAATAAGGAAAAGTCTGGCCATTTCTTATCTGTTTTCAACTTAGCTCGACAATTTCCTTTGTAGGACCCCAAATGTGAAAATTCCATTTAATTAATTTAATACCACTAGGTGATTTCTACTTGTTATTTATGTGTAGCAAGGCTGCTACTTCATGTATATAAAAACAGCACTAGCCAAAGCAGTATACTGCAAAATTCAGATGGTATTGTTCTTCATTTGACTCTATACAGCTAACCAAAATTTATTATATTTCCAGTGGACAAATTAAGGATGCTGGTACAAACTCAGGGATGGATGTAAGCAGTAGTCACAAATATTATTTAAGGCCTTTAAAAGGTAACAATGTTACCTTGGAAACACATGTTCCTAGATTAATTTTTATTAAAGATAGTATTATGAACTCTGAAATTATAAGTAGACTCCATTTTAGAAATCACTGGATTGTTGTACAAAAGATATAAATTATTAAAGGATCTTTCCTTTCAATACCATAGTTACAAAAAAATTCATTAGTTCATCAGGTTCTGAAGGATTACTCAATTATCTTGATCAGCTAATCATCTTCATAACTTCCCTTCTCCTGACAGAAGAGTTTACTAGCAGCTTTCAACTTTCCAAAGCACCAATTTTGTTCCATTCTGTCCCAACGTATGGACAGTGACAACAGATAACATTTCAGAAAGCTTCTTATGAAAACTTGCTGATTCTCACTATTCCAATACCCTTCTTATGTTTGTCTGTAAACTTACACGCTGAGACAGGGAGTAAACATGTACAGTATCTGTGTAGCACCAAGGAGTGTAGGCTGGAGATTATGGCTGGTGTGTGTGTGGGGTTGCTATTGAGAATCACCCAATTTAATATCTTGTTAATTATTTAGTCCAACAAAACTCCCTAACTAAATCATAAAATGATTTTAAAATCATGCACTTTAAAAAGTGAGATAATTCACATACCATAAAATTTACCATATAAAGGTGTATAGTTCAGGACTTCCCTGGTGGTGCAGTGGTTAAGAATCTGCCTGCCAATGCAGGGAACATGGGTTCGATTCCTGGTCCGGGAAGATCCCACATGCGATGTAGCAACTAAGCCCATGTGCCACAACTACTGAGCCTGCGCTCTAAAGCCTGAGAGCCACAATTGCTGAGCCCATGCGCCACAACTGCTGAGCCCACATGCCACAACTGTGGAAGCCCACGCACCCTAGAGCCCATGTGCTGCAACAAGAGAAGCCACCACGATGAGGAGCCCATGTGCTGCAACAAGAGAAGCCACCACGATGAGGAGCCCATGTGCTGCAACAAGAGAAGCCACCACGATGAGAAGCCCGTGCACCACAAAGAGTAGCTCCCACTCGCCACAGCTAGAGAAAGCCTGCGTGCAGCAACAAAGACCCAATGCAGCCAAGAATTTTAAAAAAAAGTGTATAGTTCAGTGGTTTTTCTCTATCACCACTGTCTAATTCCAGAATATTGTTATCATCCTCAAAAGAAATCTATCCTTATTAGTGATCACTTCCAATTTCCCCCTCCCCTCAGCTCCTGGCAACCATAAATCTATTTTGTCACTGGATTTGCCTATTCTGGACATTTCATGTAAATGGAATCATAGAATTCGTGTCTGGCTTTTTTCACCTAGCATAATATTTTCAAAGGTTAACCCATGTTTGTAGTATGAATCAGTACTCCATTTATACAGTCTTATAACCATAGTTTTGTCAAGACAAATTTTATTTTAATTCTTTACCATACCATTCCTTTCACATTAAAGTCTTTGAAGGAAGGAAAATTAATCGTTAATACCTACTTCCAGGCCTATTATAAAGCAACAGGTCATGAATATTTCAGAATGACAAATGACTAATTCAGAATGATACAGGATACAAAAAACGTAGCAAGATTAGTTTATTTTAGCTCAAACACCTAAGGGTCAACTGAAACATATAATATCTTTATAAAACTTTTTTCCTATTGAAAACTCTGAAAACCTGAAGAGCAAAACTGCTTTCTTCTCTATCCTTTTGTTTGCTTTTCCAGCAAGCAATAAAAGGTCAGATTTTACATTCTAAGCAGTATATGATACATGTTCAGGATTAGGATTAATAAGCAACTGAATTAGTAAGATCAAGATAAATGAGAGCAGCCCTAGTTCACGTTCTGTGCCATGCTAGATTACTGCAATAGCCTTCTGTGCGGGTTCTAGTTTTACTTACTGATTATGATTGAGAGAATTTTCTATAAAAGTTCACGCTCCCCTCCCATTATACAGAGTTGTTGCTGAGAATCAGTTGCTTAGGCGGAAACTACATTTTCCAGTCCTTTTTGCAACTAGCTTTTACCAATGGACCATAAGCAGAAGAGATTTAACTTTTATGCCAAGGTGCCTAAGAAGGAGGGCCACCTATCGCTTTGCTTGTCTTCCTTGATGCGGAGGACTCTTAAGCCCCGGGAGATGGTGGCACAACAAACTGGAAAGCGCCTGGTCCCTGAAGCTCAAGTGCCTGCCAGTGAGAAAGACTCCCAGTGGACTATTATGTGAGCAAGAAATTTCCAGTGTTAAGTCTCTAGTATTTGGGGTTTTATGTTTTATGTTTTAGAGCAGCTAGTGATTTTCAGTCAGAAAGCTGATTAATGTATTTATCTAGTACACTTCAGACATTATAATAATCATTGCATTTAATGCCTTACTTTTGTTCAGAAATCTAAGATGACTCCCAGCTGCCTATTAAAGGATGAAGTCCTTAGCTAAAAATCAGGATCTTCCACGATATAACCTTGAATACCATACCAAAGTTAGCTACCATTATGTCTTTTTTGTTAGACTTGTGGAATATAACATACATAAAGAAATGTATAAAACGTATGTAACTTTAAAGAGTAACAATAAAGAAAATATTTGTGTAGCTATCATCCAACTTAAGAAATAGAAGATTGCCAGCAACGTACAAGTTCCTGACTGCATCCCCCTCTATCTATAGAGTTACCCACTTCTCTGACTTAGCAGATAATCATTCTTTTCTTTAAACTACTACCTTATAAACAATTTTCTAAACAGTATGTTTAATTTTTTCTGTTTCTGAACTTCATATGAATTAAATCAAACTGTGGATTCTATTGAGACTTATTTCAACAATGTTTGTAAGATACATTCCTGTTAAAAGAGTATAGTTATAAATTCATTTTAATTGCTGTATGGTGTTCCACTGAATGAATATACAACTTCTTTATTCACTCTCCTGTTGTTAACAGTCATATGGGTTGTATCCAGTCTTTGGTTATTTATGCTGCCATGAACATTCTTGCTGTTTCCTAGTATGTATGTGCAAGGGTTACTCTTTTTTTTTTGGCTGCACTGGGTCTTCACTGCTGCACGCGGCCTTTCTCTAGTTGCAGCGAGCGGGGGCTACTCTTCGTTGCAGTGCGCAGGCTTCTCATTGCGGTGGCTTCTCTTGTTGCGGAGCACAGGCTCTACGCATGTGGGCTTCAGTAGTTGTGGCTCACGGGCTCTCAAACAGACTCAGCAGCTGTGGCACACGGGCTTAGTTGCTCCATGGCATGTGGGATCTTCCTGGACCAGGGCTCAAACCCGTGTCCCCTGCATTGGCAGGTGGATTCCCAACCACTGCACCACCAGGAAAGCCCAAAAGGGTTACTCTTGTGCAGTAGTTATCAACTGGGGGTGCTATTTTTGTCTCCCAGTGGATACTTAGAAATGTCTATAGACATTTTCAGTTGTCACAACTGTCATGCTACTGGCATCTTGTGGATAAAGGCCAGGGATCCTGCATCCTATAATGAACAGAACAGCTCTCCCACAATAAAGAATTATCCGACCCACAATGCCAGTAGCACTGAGGTTGAGAAACCCTGCTCTAGTGTACATACCAAGGAGTGAAATTGCTAGGACATAGGGCATGGGCCCTTACAACTTTACTAGGTAATGCCTAACTAATTTCCAGAGTAGTTGCGTCAATTTTGCTCCCATCAGCAGTGTTTAAGAGTTCCCTTTGCTCCACATCCTCTCTAACCCTTAGCGTTGTCAACTGGTAGTGCAAATTTAATGCACATGTAATGGTATCTCGTTATGGTCTTAATTTATATTTCCCTCACTACTAGCAGGATTAAACAGCTTCCCATATGTTTACTGGCCATTAGGATTTCTCTTTTGTGAAGTACTTGTTCAAGAGTTTCATCTATTTTTCTATTGGGCTTCTTTCTTTTAATGATTCCCAAAAGTTATTTTCATGTTCTGGACGTTACCCTGTGGGTGTTAAGTACTACAAGTATATTCTTTCAGTTTGTGGTTAGTCTTTTCAGTTTTTAATTTGTCTTTCATGAACAGAAGTTCTTAATCTGCATAAGCTCAAGGTAAAATTTAGTAGTCTTTTCCTTTATAGTAGAAGTTTTCCATCTTGTTAAAAAATACCTCACCTATTACAAGATCATGAAAGTCTCCTATATTATGTTTTAAAAGTCTTATTTTTTTGCCTTTCACAATCTACCTGAAATTGATTTTTGTATATTATACAAATAGGAATCTCACTGTCCCAACTCCATAACTGAAGTTAATCTTATCCCCACTTACCTACTATAACACCACTGTTATACATCAAGTGTTTATGTATAGGCATACCTTTTCTTACTGTGCTTAGCTTTATTGTCCTTTGCAGATACTGCAGTTTTTACAAATTGAAGGTTTGTGGCAACCCTGCATTGTCACATGATGGTTAACATTTTTTTTTTTTTTTTTGCGGTACGCGGGCCTCTCACTGTTGTGGTCGTTCCCGTTGCGGAGCACAGGCTCCGGACGTGCAGGCTCAGTGGCCATGGCTCATGGGCCCAGCCGCTCCGCGGCACGTGGGATCCTCCCGGACCGGGGCACAAACCCGCGTCCCCTGCATCGGCAGGCGGACTCCCAACGACTGCACCACCAGGGAAGCCCCATGGTTA